TGCAAACATCTTTGAACTAATTGCCGACCAACCATACTCATCGAAACATATACTGCAATCGAATAAATGGGATCCACAAAACATTAGAAGATATGCGCTTCCTTCCTCTCCCCCCCCCCTTATGGGTTTACACTATTATCGCTGTGAAAGGGAGGAGGATCAACTTGATATTATATAGGATGGTGGTCATAATGAAGTGTGAGGGTCGATTTAAACACTTTGATTAACTCTTGGTGTACGAATTTTTAAAATTGTTTTCTTTATGAACCTGATCAAAGACATCATATTCAAACACGTTTTGTCATCACCAGCGTTGATCTAATTCAATGATTAGTCTTGTGAGACAAGACAGGAAGCATCGTGCTTTGTTCGAAACACGTACGCCGAATAACACAAGCTGTGCAGTTAAACACAAGTCACACACTTCATAACTTTTTTCGATTAATGATCAGTTGGTAGGTTATTTTAGAAATTCGACCAATCCCACAAGTTATATGCGCTAGCTGTTCTTAATTTCTAACTAGTAAACAAAAAGGAAGGCAGCTAGTCAGCAGAACCTATCACAACTTTTGGGCTTTTCTAATTAAATAGCGGAAATTGACTGCCACTCTTATAACACACCCATGGCCCCAGAGTAGGAAGCGCGATTTTGCAGCAGTAGAACAAGAGTCATGGACTCTCGGATTCATAGTCCTGAATGTCTAACTTCTAGGCCACGCATGGCGCTTCCGGATAGTGATGCTGGAAAAATTTATTTGCGAGACATGTATATTACTGAACGTGGCTTATTGAAATAATTAATTACTTCATCCAGCCACCGCACATCTTCCTGTAGATTGATCGATGGAAGTCAAACCCTGCACTAAATATAATGAAAAACAATCCACCGTAGATAGGAGACAATAGCCGACAATTCGATAGGTTGATTAGGATTACTCTTCCACGTAATTTTCCCCAGTCTTTTGAGAGACATTCACTAATCTCACCGTGAAGCTAGCTTTCATATTTCTATGATTGTGTAAAATTAGTATAGTGCGTGCCAAGCGAACTGGAATCTTGAGAGGTTCACACGTAAACAAAACAAGTTTAATTAATCCAATGTGTAGGTGTAGGCAGACAGACAAATATATATATATATAGATATTTCAATGTGTGTGTGTGTAAAGTTTAATTCTGATTGTGTTAAATCTACACACACTTAAACAGTGAACTTGTAAAGTATGAGGACAGAGTTCAGACTGATGCCCCCCCCCAGTGGCACACAGCGGTATGTCTGCGGACTTACAACGCTAAAAACTGGGTTTCGATACCCGTGGTGGGCAGAGCACAGATTGCCTATTGTTTAGCTTTGTGCTTAACTACAATCAACTCATTTTTGTAATGAGGTATCTTAACTCTTACATTTTTGGTTATTTATACTAGTAACAAAAAATTTTATTCTAAAATTGATGGGATTTAAAAAGATCAGAACCTAGAGAGCACTTTGGATGGGTGAAAAATCTGCATTACCCATTCCTGCATTCCACCCCTCATACACTGCACTCACAAGGTGGATGCATATATACGTTAGGTGGTGGAATGCAGAAGTAGGTAATGCAGATTTTCCTCCCATCCCAAATGCTCTATAGTTTCTGATCTTTTTCCATCCCTCCATCCCATCAATTTAAGAATAAGTTTTTTTTACTAGTTTCTGCACTTTTTACGAGTCGAAGTCTAGGCTTCCAGTGCGTTGTGACCTCTAGGTGGAAAGCACCATTTCACCATCTTATTCAGTTCTATTCTATAGGGAGCCATAATATACAGTACCTTACAAAAGTATTCACTCCCTGCAAAGTTTCCACATTTTGTTGCCATCTGAGTCTGCAACCATGAAACTTTCAAATGGGACTTTATATTTAGAATTTATGCAATCTACTCCAAACTGAG